ATACAATTAACATAATCAAGATTATTACGATATGGTTTTTGCAAGGCTTGATATTCAAATTTAAAATTATTGTATCCACGTCTCTTTATTATTTTATTAACAGCAGTTTTTGATAAATTGCCATCACTGGCCACACTTCTCGATCTTTTTTCTGGATTCAATTGAATTTGGGTCAGCAAGAGAAATGGCGACACTGGTTAGTTTCTATGATAAATCGAATAGTTTCAACCCTTTGTTATTGATAACAAATTGAGTTTGAAAATAAAAGTATTCTTTAACCAAATAATTGAAATTGGAGTGAAAAAGTTGGTGAAATTCTACAAAAACAGCAATAATTTGATATCTCACCTTCCTGACTAGTTACTGGATGTGAATTACATCACTGAGAACAGGTTTGTCACAATTTTTCAATTCACAAAATATGGAAGAAATAAGAAAGATATGGATGCATGCAATACCTAAAAATATTGAAATCGTCTTCTACTTTGGTCATTTATATAACTCATTTTTGGGAAGAACATGCCATTAACTATATTCCACAAGCTTTGCTAGATGAATCTATTCAAGATGCATATCTTTGAGCTTCAAGAACAATAAAAATGCAGTATCTTTCATTTTTTCAAAGTATCTTTCAAAACATGTAATCTCACTGACATTTGTTGATGTGTGTGTATAAGTTGTTTTCGTGAACAAGATATCAATTATTATAGTCCAGAGGCTCTGCTAGTTGAATCTGCCCTTGTAAGAGCTCCAAAGGTAATGGAAACCGCAGTATCTTCAATTTTCACAAATGAAGCTGAGTATTTTTCCAAACTTGTAGTCTCACCGATATTCGGTGATGTGTGTAACTTTTGACTTCTGGGGCCTGTCTTTTGTTTGCTGGCGACAGATTATCAACGGATTCCAAATGAACTGATTTTAAACGCCATGTACTGATTTCAGTACTTTTCTGATTCCAAAATAACGTTGAAATTATGTTTGCACAAGCGTTGTCAATTCCTGCATCAATTTGTCGATAATTTTTCGGGTGACGTGTAAGAAGAAGAACACATTCAGGTGGTACAATTGCTAATGTGTTTTGCTCTTCATATTGAACAGGAATGAAATTTCTCTTATACGCCTGCACACTTCAAGTCAAGAATTTTTCTGTATTGATGAAAATTAAAATATTCAATAAATTTTTTTCTATTTTTATATTACCGATTATCAATCTTGGAATCGACATTTTCATCAATTCATTCATGAAGATATTTTGAAATATACGATTGAGAAAGAGAAACAAAAAGGTATTCGTTGTTTCCAGATGAGCGAAACTATTGCAGTGCCATCATTCAGCACGTCCAACCAATTTTCGATTCAAAAGTTTTTCAGTTATTGCGTATTGAATCATCTTAATACGTGATATTAACATAAATGTTCCTAAACCACCAAATCATACAATTTCTCAATCCAGTGAATTCTCAATTGCTGACAATGAAAAAACTAATAGAAATTCCTTAATAATGATATCTCTGCTAAAATCAAATACACGTCTAGAACGGACAAAATGTAATTCAAACACTGTGGTTTACGATGTACGTGATTTTGCAGAACTCAGTAGTTTATCGTGCGAGAAGATGTAGAAATAAGAAACATTTTTATTTTCCTACTTTCTACAGACTGGAATCTGTCAATTTTTGTTAATTTCATCAGTATAGACTAACTTAACCTATGAACTAATCTATCCAACGGAGTTGAGGAAAAATGTAGACTTGAGATTGTCATTGTTTTTTCAATTGACTTTAATGGAAACTCATTCATTGAAATTATAATTGTTTATTCATAATATGGTTACATAACCTAAAATGTTTTCGTAATATATCTTATGAGCTGTCGCCAAAATGGGCAGGAACTTTCTACTATAACTTGCTGCCGAGGAATATAAGAGAAACTTTCATCAAAAAATTTAGACATAGTGTGAAAACTCTCTTCAATACTCCTGTATATACAATTTGATAAATTTTTACATTCAGTAATATACATTTGTGTATATGTATATGTATATCTGTGTATATATGCGTGTAAAAATGTATGTAGTGTGTATATTGTAGTTCTATATTTATGAGTATTGTATTTACTGCATAAAACGCTAATGAATTATTGAATTGAATTGTTGATAGTAAAACCATTCGTGAAACTATTCGTTTATAGACGAACCTTCTATATTTCTTATTGTATAAAGCGCTAATAAATTGATTGAATTGAATTGTGGATGGTAAAACCACAAAACATCATAATTTTATCCAATGATTTTTATTTTTCAACAAAAACTTTATTACTTAGCAATACCATGGTAGCAAACAACGTGAGTCCGTAGCACGAGTAATTATTCGTAAAGATTATTTCGTGGAATATTCTCAGCTGAATGCATTGATATAAGAGCGAAATATCATTACAATATTCAATAAATTGTATCACCTGTATTACCTCTTTCATCTGTTCATTGTATTTCCCGGAAGAGTTAGGGTCAGTTACTATCATAATCATAATATCATAATAATACCTGTGGATTTCTGCAGACGTACGTATTCATGCAGAATGTTGATATTCACTCACAATCATATTTGACTATATGATTCAATTAGTTCAATTCAATAAGGACAGTAACGGTGATTGAAATTGTGAGAATGATACATAACTAGTTCCCAATAGTTGCGTATCAACCAAGAATAATTACACCTTGGTGTTAAAATAAAAACTGTCAGTTTTATCGTTGTCAGTTTCATTGCGTTTCTAGAGAGACTTCTTATCGCTGTATACTGTATTTTAGTGGCGTAGCCTTCACGTTTTTTATCATTTTATTGGACTGAAGAAAATAATCATAGGAAATTAACCTAACCTATTAACATAGCCTACTGAGTTGAACAGCAGAATTTCTGATCTAAAACCATCCAAACCTACAACCTAAACTAGCATTAGACCCGGGGCCGCACTGCAGGATGCTAGATGGTCGCTTGGAGGGTGGATGGTGGAGGGGCAATGCATCCTGGACGCAGTGAAATGAAGCCAGTATCTAACTGACAGCTGAAAAGTAACAATCATGCCTCTTTTCAATTATATGATATAGATATAGAAAGAAAGAGAAAAAATGCCTCTCTTCAATAAATAAACAAAGTTATTGAAACTAAACATTAGAACATGAACTTTGAAGAAAAGAGTTAAATATTATGAAAAAAAGGATCTTGCTGTTGAGTTGTAGATGTTCCAACATACGAATCTAATGATTGTTGTTTCATCGATAAGCATGAAATATCAGTAGAATTCGACAATGATGAGTACTGGGTACGACTATCATACTCGTTGAGGGGCTCCCACAGACAAATTTCTTTTTTCATATTCATTCAAGATAAGGTCTTGAATTTTCCCACGGACTCAGCCTATGGCCTCAGCTTGATTCCCGCATATATGGAAGTAAAGTCTTGAAGAAACACAAATTCGAATGTTCTTCGAAGCTGATTTCTTTTTCCAGAAGTGCAAACTTTTCCTTAATGGGTCTGCTGGGTCCCAAATTGCCCTTTTTTTCTACACAGAACTCATCACGCTTTCCCCATACTTAGGCTACCGGGCTGGAATATCAAACACGACTGATTAGGTTGGATAGACGCCTGGCGTACCTTCGGATGTTTTCTGGAGGTTAGATGGTAGTGGGGGGGGGGCACTACGGCTACCGTCGTTGTGTTACTCACGTTTATAGATAGCAGGATGTTTGCCAGGCAGCTATCCACCATCCTACCAACCTTCCTGCAGTGCGGCCCCAGCTTAGGAGTTGAAGAGGAATGCACTAGGCTAATTTATATTACTGTGAGCAATTAGCAACCACGCAATCTATATGAATGTTCTTGGGAAGACATTGTCATTATATTACTGAAACTTGATATGAATAAATTGAAATGGTATATTTTTAGGAGAGAATAATTTTTGAGAAATGGAGGAAGGAATGTTATTTACGAACTGTCATCGATGGCATGAGTGGATTGAACTCATTCCGTAATTTTATGAACGAATTAAATGTTTTTTCTTATGTTATCCGTATTTGGTACTGAAGGGTCAATAAGGCAAGTGTCTTAGGGCGAAACATCCGGGTGTCTACTAGTGAGGATGACAGTGTTCCATGTGAGTGAAATTTTAATTCCTATATACATTTATTATATTGTGTAGGAATCCTGTGAATCTGATTCGATTCCATATGAATGTTTGGAATACAAACGGAATAAAGAAAAGTGTTTTTCGTATAAATCAGCGTTCATATAAAAGTATTTGTTTCGACAGTATTCTTCTTTCGTGTAATTCAACATTTATATGGAAATAGCTGTTTCGAGCTTTTTCTTCCAGTTTGTGTCTGAAAGTTACTTTTTTGCATGATCTAAACATATTTATCCAGAGTTAATTCTTAGAATTGATTGCTGCCTTTCTTCCTTTGGAAGATTCCCACATTTTTTTTGTATCGAATCGGAGAAGTTGATACGATTGAAATGACAGTTTTATGTGAATTCAAGCACACACTGTCAAGTAGATATTTGAGTGGTACATACTTCAAAATCATATTTTTTTGATTTTATCGATGTATTAAATTAATCTGGAACTGATATTTCAATTTTATACCTGAGTGGACCAGAGTAAAATAAATACAGTCTTGTTAGCAATTTTCATCTTTCAAATAATCGTTCGTTTCTTCGAAAAAAAAATTGTCCCAGTTCCAGAATTACGTCCTAAGGTTAAAAGTTCATAAGTGAAGGCATGTTTCTGGTCAAGGAATACCAAACATTTTCGTTACAATTTTCAAACAATTCAATTGTGCGTCCCGGAAGAAGACGGCATGTAAATATACGTTATCCGGCATATTATACAATGGATTACACTGTATAATTCATAAACAGTTCATGGTGGGAACAAAACGTGATTTTGCGGCAGTGAGAGTTGATTCTATAGGAAAGTGGTTTCACTTCTCCTCTTGTCTCCTTTCGAACTAGTCGCAGCGCGTCTCTGCTCTCGTGGCTCGAAACGAAAGTCAAACGTCGCGGTTCACTTTTTGAATGTATGTGCGTTCGATTGAAAGTGACGTCGTGGAGAGTGCAAGTGTCTTCTGGGATATGGATTGGTGAATTGAAACTATAAGTATGTGCGTGTTGTGCTTTTGAACAGGAATACTCTTCGTGACTATAGTAAGATCTGAATCTTTCACTTTTTGAAATATTTTGAAATACAAAATTGATGCTTCAGTATTATATTATAATTACAGTTCACAATATTCCGATTGTGCTGCATCTGTAAGTAATACAGACGATTTTTTCAAGCAGGATGGAATGTACCTTCATGGTCAGAAAATTTTCTCGTTTTCTACTCCATTCCTGGGAAATACATCATATGGCATCTGAAACGAAGCAAAACAGAACCGTCACAAAAATTTATCGTGTTGGAACGTTTCGATCTGAGAATCGTTGTCATACCTTCAACCCCCTAAATTACTGAAATGGAAATGAAATTATTTTTTTTGAAAATAGGTTGGAAAATACCTAGTTCCTTCACGATATTTCATCAGAATATTTTCTCTTTTATTATTCAGCATCAAAATATACTTTTCAGTCGGGATGAGGAAATACAGAGTTTGTCATCGAAAACATACTCACCGCAAGACAAATTTTTGCAAATATCTCTGAAACACTACAACTTTTCTTCTGAGACAGGAAAGTTTTGGTCTGAGAACCATTGAAAAACCTCAAAGCCTCTGATTTCTTTCACATAACATTATGAAACAGGAATGGGGTCAAATGACACTACGCCAAAAGAGCTTTCAATTCCGTATGCAATGTTTCCTTGCCTTAGAAAATTGCTCAACTCTCTCAGTTTTTCGGAAAATGCAAGTGAATTTCACTCAGGAACCCACCATATCAATCAACGTTGAAAATGCTATTCACCCACCCGCATAAAATTATACAAGCTTCATTTATTTATGTGTACCTTTATAAAACTCAAAGACCTCAAGTTTGTTGACTGAGTATATTACTCAGTTATACCTCTTCCTGATGCAGACATCTATTCCGAATCGTTTTGTGAAAGTTAATTTTTTCTTCATCATAACGGAAAAAATTTAAACCTTGGATTATTAAAGGACTTGAAAATTTCTTCGAAAAATCTAAGATACCTATATACCAATAAAAAATTATATTCGTTATCCGAAAAAGAGCTTTGAAAATAATATTCAAATTGAAGACGTGTGGCTCGTGTAGGCCACTTTTCTGTAGGAATAAAGTACTAACAATATTTAAAATATTCATTTTAGAGACTATCTGATTACTTGTAAGTGTGTTGTAAATGTTTTATTCCATTGATGTTTTTTTGCCTGTTTTTTTGTTCTGTTATTTTTAATCTCCACTGTATTTTTGTAAATACTATGTAGTTTCATAGTTTATAGTTTATGCTTGAGAAAGCTACTGTATAGCGAAACACCTGTCGCGGTTTTTGTAAAACCCTTTATGATGAAAATCATGCAATGAACTGTATTAATTGGTTTTTTATATAGTTACAGCTTTTTTGATGAATCATCAAAGAGTTATAAAATTCTGAACTCTGAAAAACAAGCTTTTCCATGTTTATCATACGGAAAATTTAAATTTACCAAGCGCTATATCTCTATATTAATATTAAGAGATGTGGCATTCACAGTATTTTTTTCAACATTTCCATCAGAATGTTTGATATATTCAAGGAAAATAAAATAGTCGATTATTTTTTGAATCTGTCTACTATACATCCGTTACACAGTATTGATTAAAAAAATACAGTAATGAGGAATTATCACTGCTGATTGAAATCGTTAAGAGTAATCATCACTTGACGAAAAGAACGATTCCTTCATCGAAAGAAGATATTATTTTATTGTGACTTTGAAACTTCTCTCACATGGCAAGTCCTTTATTTATCGAGGAAGCATATTGAAGAAAAGTGGTACTGCATAGTTAGGGAATTTTTCAAACTGATGCCCATTGAATTGTAAAAGATGAGTGTATTCTTTCTTGCAGAAAATTCAGGTAAAATTTCATTTTTATTGAATTCAGTTATGAAAAATAAAGATATACATATACATTGATGTATGTCATGCCATTGATGGTATCCATGAATTTGTGGCAATTATTTTAATTCCACCCTTCCCATCACATGGAATTTTAGCGGTTCAATGTGAAATTCACCATATTCTATGAAAATTGAGTGGTAGTCGAGTTCTACATTTTGACAAGCAGTTACTTTGAAAGGAATGAAACTTCTAGGAATGGATTATTTTCACTAATAGAAATGACAGTTATGACGGAAGTTGTAATTGCCAATAACGAAATGAAAAATCCAGCCAACACGTAATCTTCATTAAATATGATCAACTACAGAATTTTTGTGCTTTATATGGTCAAATATCTTCGAAAAATTGAGCGCAACAATGAAAACTTCGTTTTTATTGATCGAATCATTCCGAAGGCGGGTGGTATACGCAAAAATGTCGCTTCCTGATTTTTGCTTTTGGAAACTATACTTCATATTCGACGGAATCGACCGATTCTTGATGAAAATCGATAACGTTTTCAAGAATCATCTCAGTGTGAGAATTTCACTACATAATTTTACAAAAACTCAACAAGTGTTTCGTTATACAATAGCTTCTTCAGGTGTGGAAAATATGTTATGTAATCAGATTTTGCTGCTAGCAGCAAATCCTACATTAAATTCCTTTTGCAATGAATGAAATTTCGGTTGTGAACATTTCATGTATTTTGTTGATAGACGTAGAAATGTATGCTCAAAAATATTTCCAAAGTATTCTAACTCTCCAATCAAAGATTAATAAAACAGCAGGATTCCAAATTGATTGTATTACCAAATAATATATCTCGAATAGTTTTCACCAAGTCGCCTTATCGATTTAACTTCCCTATTCAAAAAACATTGACCTAGAAAGTTAGGTATTTTCTCTATTGATAATTGCAAGCTATGCCTAGTGATTTATTCGAAATTTATTATGCCTGAAAAGAGAAAAGCAGTACTTACCCTTATTCCGGTAATAAGATTATTAAGAAAGGTTTCAGTTTATTCGTTATCCGAAAAAGAGCTTTGAAAATAATATATATCTATAAAATATTCAGAATATTCGAGATTTATATAAAAATTACTCACTGTCCGGAGGCTTATTTCTCGATGTTGAACCACATAACAAAGCAGGTTTTTTTATCATTCTCAGATTTATCTTTTTCCACTTTTTTCAGTGTCTATTGTCCATACACTCCTCACAAACTTTTTTTTTGGATATGAGACTATAATGTCCCATTTCAAATTCGAAAGTAATGGATAGAACCATAATAATCATCATCATCCAGAATGCGTTTCTGTTGGGGAAATTGATCCGTATTTTCGGTGTTGTATAAACATAATATACTTCAATAATATACAAAATAGTATACAACATAATATACAACAACAATATATGTATAAGAATAGTATCACATACTATTAGTATAGTATCACACTAATATTAAGAGACATTTACTATGGTCATAACAAAAAAATACGCGAAAATGTTAGAATTTTTATTATGTCCCGATGGTTATACCACTTCTACCCTTGAGGGACATCTGATATGAAATCGATGGTTTAATGCAAGATGTGGTTCAAGGACTCTTCACAATATATCAGTTATTCAACCCAACACCACTGATGACACCTAGGGCAGGTCGAAACGAAGGTATCAGGTTGTTTCAAAAGTTTTGTCCGTTGTAATATCATGTGTGTTTGTAGCTGCATTTATCAATTAACATTCATTCCACTGTTTCACTGTGACGTAGTTATATACTGGTCGATGAAGAATTTTGTACTCTATACATAGATGCTGCCCAGTTTTTTTCAAATTTTAATTCTTCGCCTCTTTTCAGCTCACTACTATATTATTTTCTCGAGTGTTTCGGCATTCGGCAATGAGAGTGTTAATGAACGCACTGTTCGTCGTTGGTTCGCGGAATTTCGTTTCAGGGATTTCAGCCTCGAAAATGAGCCTCAAAGTGGTCGACCTACAGTAATCCATGGCGAGGATTTGAGAATTCTGGTGGAGACTGACCCATTACAGGAAATGTTGAATAATGATGAGCCACCCAGGCACTTCCCCAACCCGAAAATCCAACAAAACAAACCACGGTTACTATACGTTGGTCAGCGATTGGTGTGATTCGCTTTAACTTTCTGCAACCGGGCCAAACCATCAAAGCGGAGTCAGTCCTAGTGTGAGAAAATCGACGAAATGTACCGAAAATTGAGTCAGCAGCCGCCGGCACTGGTCAACAGCAGAGGTACGATTCTGCTCCACGACAAAATCTGTCCACACGTTTCACAAACCACTGTTCGAAAGTTTGGAGAATTTAGCATCACCTCCTAGACTCTCCAGACCTCTCGCCATTCTACTACCATCTTTTCAGGCACTTGGATAACTTTCCCACTGGTAGAACCTTCGCCAATCAGGACCAGGCAAAAATTGCCTTCGTCGACCTCATTGAATCCTGATCATCATTTCACACAGTGCTATCTTGCTCTCGAAACTTCAAACCAACTATTCTGTTTTTCAACTCAATACTTCCATATTCACAGTCAAAGCGAATGGTCCCGTATATCATTTATGGTACACGTTGTGATGAAGACAATGTTATTCAATATCGCTGTGATTAGTGTTGATAAATAAATAAAAACAACAGATCTATACTAATATAAATGTGAAAGTTGGTGAGGATGTATGTATGTATGTATGTTTGTAGCTCTCTCACGCTTAAACGATTGAACGGATTCAGATGAAACTTTTTATAAATACAGCTTATACATCAGAATAACATATAGGCTACAATTTACGAAAGTCTTTTGGTCATAATATAACGATGAGTTCAAGTCGAAACAATTTTTGCTCCCTGAGAGCTATCTTGGCGTTCGCTGCATATACGTTACATGCATATAATCTACCGTAAGATTCTTCATTTTGAATAGTTCTAAATAAAAGTCCAAACTAGTTTTTTCAATTACACTCTCACTTCGAGAGCTATACCAAATTAATATATATCACCACAAAAATTAATGACAATGGAATAACCTTTCAAAGAAATTCGAGTTCAACAACTCATCCTTCACATTTTTTATTGACATG